GAATAATCTCGCGTTTGTAGGTGTTATCAGACGCCTGGTCTTTACAAAACCGACAATGCATTCGCGAATATGCGTTACAGATGACATTTTTTTTAAAAACTTTTGATTGCTTTAGGTGATCAGTCTGTCTACCGGGACGTCGTGATACGAACTAAAGCAGGGTACATCTAGCCCGTGCCCGTCTTACAGTCGTTGCGATATTAATTTCATACCAGTGGACTATGTTTTCAAAAACGTGACCATGCAAAACAGCTGATTCAGCGGAAAAAATCACGATTCTCTTATGGCAGTGTTATCAGTCGAAAATCGGGTAAAATCGGGTAAATCGTTTCAAACATAACGACCAGATATATTTGCATATATACAGAGTTTATCGATCGTTCACTGATCCCGAAATACCGTGTATCCATAATACGTGTAAAACAGTATAGAGGTGTTGCATCGGTAGTTGCAGCGATCTGCTGACGCACACCGTTCCAGCCTGCATCAGCATCTCTCTCCATCGTGATGTAAGGGTCTGAGATGCGTATCATGTTACTCTATTTTACAATCCGTAGCTACCAGAAGATCGCACCAATCTCTTACAGTGTTGAACTCATCGATATCGCCACCTATGAGTTGCACGGCGATATCCTTTCCGACGCGACCATCCTGCAGCAGTGTCTCGCAGCTCTCATCGCGAAAAATTGCCATACAGCGTACGTGTCGAATGTTGCGTCGGGATGCTGTTCGCGTATCCATTGCATAGTACCCCAAATTGTTTGACTCCTCCGCGTGCTCTCCCTCCTCATCGTACACATCGTGGCTTGTATAGACATCCCACGTGTCGTCGAGTGCTTCCAGGTACGCGTAAAGGCCGCTGGGCATGCTGACCACGCTCGTTCAGTATTCCTTATATTTTAGGTGTGGTGGGCCATCCTGTGTCGCCAGGGTAACGCACCCTATAAACTCTGTCAGACTGCAGCGCTTCTCCAGAGTGTGTAGCGCTGTCTCGTAGGCACGCATAGCCCTCAAACACCATAGGGTGACGCAGCTTTCGCGTAATTTCTCGAGGTGGTTGAATGCCGCCAACCATGCCTGCGATTCCAGACGCATAAGTACGTGGCGCGGTAACTGCTCCGGTGTGGGACGTTCACACCTGCTCCGTAGCATCGCTAGGGCTGATCTGGTCATCGGGCGTCGATATGTGATGCGGCACTTGGGGCTACCATCGTCGGACATACGCCTCCAGACGCATAGGTACGTGGCGCGGTAACTCCTCCGGTGTGGGACGTTTACACCTGCTCCGTAGCATCGCTAGGGCTGATCTGGTCATTGGGCGTCGATATGTGATGCGGCACTTGGGGCTACCATCGTCGGACATACGCCACTCGTCTTTTGCCAGCCACTCGTGGGTGCATACGCGCTGTGCGTAAGGACTATCGTTACAACGCTGATCACCGATAAAACCCAGCGTCACGCTACACCGTGTGAAATCGCGGTATCCCTTATCCAGTATAGCAGCTACAGATAGCTCCGGTAGTATCACAGGCCTCACACCAGAGGCTCAACCCTTACGGCAGATCATGTCGGGGTTATCACCGTATAGCTCATCAGCGTCCAGGGCTCCCGGTTTCGACATGTATATCGATACTAGCGGTACACCCGTTAAATGACGTATTCGCAACCATTCCCGTACGGTCTCTTCCTCTGGATATTGTTCGGGGATTGCGTAGCGGTAGAGGGCTCGTGTCTTCGTCTTTTGTATACGCCTATGCCGCAAAAATTCCTCGCAGTCGTAGTGCGCCATTTCTTCTTCGTGCAGCTTTATAAATCTCTTTGTGCAGTGGGCTGCTGTAATCTTCGTCTTCTGTATACGCCTATGCCGCAAAAATTCCTCGCAGTTGTAGTGCGCCATTTCTTCTTCGTGCAGCTTTATAAATCTCTTTGTCCAATGGACTGCTGTAGCGATTCTACTAACTTTCTCAGACTGTACATCAGTGGATGCTCGCGCGTGCCGCTGGCCGCCGCTGGATCAGGTTAACGCTGATGTAGATGCACGCGAGAGCGACTCACTCGCTATAGGGTATCGGTATCTAGTCATCTCTGATACACCCTACCGTATCAGCAGAATGCTCTGTCAAGGCCAGGTACTCTTTGTCCGCTGTATCCTATGAAAAACAGTGTGTGGCGGAGGCTGCGGTAGTGGGGAACTCACCCGCTATAGGGTATCGGTATCTAGTCATCTCTAATACATCCTACGGTATCAGCAGAATACTCTGTCAAGGCCATGTACTCTTTGTCCGCTGTATCCTATGAAAACAGTGTGTGGCGGAGGCTGCGCTGATACATACTACCGTATCAGCAGAATACTCTGTCAAGGCCATGTACTCTTTGTCCACTGTATCCTATGAAAACAGTGTGTGGCGGAAGCTGTGGTGGTGGGGGTATATGTTCAATGATATTCCGATGATGCGTTTTTTTTAGATACCGCCTTAGGCAGTACTGCTCAGACACCCGCACTGATCGTATACTAGCGCTTCCTATAATCATCATCATGTACAAGAAGCAAGTACTGCTATCCACTGTGTACGGTCTAAACCGATCGTTTTCGAAACAAGTAATCACCGGCTTCTCTTTAAATCGTTCGGGAAGCTTATCGCCTGTGATACGCATCATTAATCAGGATTATTCCGGCGTGGAGTTTGAGGCTAGCGAGTGGGCGATCGTCGCCGAACACCTACCCGTCATCGACAAGTTCTTCACCACAGAGGACAACATCAAGGAGGTACCCGAGGAATTCAACACTCCTATTTTCATGACCGCTCACGAGATAGTCTTTACGTACTCATACGGGGAACGTGCCATTATTTTGAAACCATCGGCGCCGCTATATACGAGTAACGACGACTCGGGCATTAAAAGAGCTAGAGCGTACACACCCGTGATCGTAATGAAGAGGGTGTCGTACCTCAATCTCCAGAGGGTCTTGCGCTGCGTGACCATCCAAATAAACAGACTACGCGAGATCACCGACAGCGCTAACAGCTGCAAAGACACGCTGATTGCGGAGCTCGATCGCCGCGGGGATGACGCCTCCCGGAAAGAGGGTGTCGTGCCTTAATCTCCAGAGGGTCTTGCGCTGCGTGACCATCCAAATAAACAGACTACGCGAGATCACCGACAGCGCTAACAGCTGCAAAGACACGCTGATTGCGGAGCTCGATCGCCGCGGGGATGACGCCTCCCGGGACAACATATTGGATGATCTTCGGCTGGTTTTGGAAAAGAAAGGCCTGTGGTCGCCAGCTCTTTATCAGTTATTGGTGGAGCTACTCTCCCTGTATAACCACGAGTACCTCTCCTTCGTGCGGAGCACCACGACTACCCAGAATGATCATGCTTGAGGATTTATTCTCTTAATAAAATTGTACAGCTACTGTTTCTTACAATATACGACATATATTTAAAAAATACCTATTTTTTCTGTTTTTGTTTCCTTCATCTCCATCTCCCCATATCTTGTCAATAATGGTAACGGGGCGATGGGCAATAAAACATTAAGCATATTCCTCTATACAGGGCTCAGGCTAATCAGCGAAAATATATCACGCCAGACAGCTTTATAATATATATATAGCGTTTCTTACAAAAACACTGTGTTCTACTTCACCATGGGACGCTTACCTCCTTAGAGACCGCGTGATGGGAGGGTCCACAACTGTGTCGCAGGTGGAGGGGAGAGCTGGTCGCATAGGCGAGGGGGTGGCGCCATAGTGCAGTGCAGGGGGGCACAGCGCGATGCGCTCTATGACTCATAGGGACAGTGGTGGGGGTTTGTTATGACTCCCATAAGTGGTGTGTATCTACTAGCCTGTTTTTGGTGGTCTCAATTTTTCTCTGCTTTCGGCGCGCCACCTTAGCGGAGGGCCCTCGAAGCAGTTCCACGTTTTTGATTGGTCGAATGAATTCGTGTGTTCCTCGAGATCCACGATTTTAAACCGGGTAAACACTCAAATAGGGAGACTTGTATCTACCTTTTTTTTTACAGGATATTACATAAACCGTAGTAATAACAGAGATGAGTAGGGAGATTGCCAATGAGCCTGTTTTTGGTGAAG